CACCAACAGAATACTAATCTAATTGTTGTTTTTAAACCAACATAATACTATTCTAATTGTTGTTTTTTACACCAACAGAATACTAATCTAATTGTTGTTTTTAAACCAACATAATACTATTCTAATTGTTGTTTTTTACACCAACAGAATACTATTCTAACTGTTGTTTTTTACACCAACAGAATAGTAATCTAATTGTTTTTTTTTACATCAACAAAATAATTAATCTAATTGTTGTTTTTCACACCAACAGAATACTAATCTAATTGTTGTGTTTTACACCATCAGAATACTAATCTGATTGTTGTGTTTTACACCATCAGAATACTAATCTAATTGTTGTTTTTTACACCAACAGAGTACTATTCTAATTGTTGTGTTTTACACCATCAGAATACTAATCTGATTGTTGTTTTTTACACCAACAGAGTACTATTCTAATTGTTGTTTTTCACACCAACAGAATACTAATCTAATTGTTGTTTTTTACACCAACAGAGTACTATTCTAATTGTTGTTTTTTACACCAACAGAATACTAATCTAATTGTTGTTTTTTACATCAACAAAATACTTAATCTAATTGTTGTTTTTCACACCAACAGAATACTGATCTAATTGTTGAATAAACTGGAGTGGACGGTAACTGTCTGTTGTAAAAACGTTTCGAAACGTCGTCCATTACACTTGTGTTTTTTATAAAGGCAGTCATCGTCCATTCCAGTTTACTCATTATGAACCCTCTGCCTAAACAAGCTATCAAAAAATATTCTATTTGTTGTTTATTATTTCAGTAACCGACGGATAATCTAACTGTTTCTATCTTATTCTACCAGTAAGTATTCCTACCTCCTGTCCTACTTCAGCTGTATACATTGGTGTTCCACTGTGTGGCACCAAACCTGCAACCTTCGCTACCGTTGGACTAACGCTGGTGTGAGGTGAGGATATCTTGGGGAAACCTCCTGTCCCCTTGTAGACAGCCGATCCGTTATAAAGGTGATCGTTTGGTGGCTTGGGATGATTTTCCGGCGTTGCTGTATACCTCGGAAACTTTGCATCAAAGATGGCGGGAGTGGTACTGCCACATGGTCTTGGCAAGGCAGTTCCCCATTTGAGGACACTCTGTCGCGTATCATAAGAAAAGGCAGAAACTATGGACGGTTGGGAAGAGTCTGTATATACTTTTTCCTCCTTTAGGAACTGTGAAGGTTCTCGAATGTGATTAGAAACACCGGTCACTCTAGATTTGAGAACACAGTCTGGGGTCATGGACCCTGGAAGCGGCGAAATTCCAAAGTTCAGTTTGTGGTCCCTGTCGAGCGTCGGGAGAAGAGGGCGAATATCTTGTCCTGATGCACTCATAAGACAGCCTCTTATCTGGCTACTCTGGTCAGCAGATGGGTAACCATCACAACAAGATGGTTTGCTGCCAACCTGCTGCATGAAAGATGTTGGATCACCATTGAATTTCGTTGTATTTAATTGGCAGGGGTAGAATTTACTGTCTTTACTGAAGTGGTTGTTGTCTGGGTACGTTTGAGGGAAACAGCCTCGTGCGGCTGACGTCACATCGAGAAACCCATTACCTGGTGTATATTGTGCTGCATGAGGTGTGTAATCAGAATAGTAATGGCGGTATTGAAGAAAGTTCTCGGGTGTTAAGAAACGCGAATTATCAATTGCTGTAAAAAAAGTCTGTGACATTGATGGCGTGCTGGAACCATAAGGAGACAACCCGTTCATATTTTCTGTAGGGTATGAATACATGTTGGGGTAACCTGGGTCTTCCAAGTAGGAATTGGTCAGAAGTTTTTTCTTCCTGCACGTCGGTAACTCTTTCTTTTGAGATTTGTACTTACGGTTCTTTTGGCAACTGAGAACTGCGTCACCTTCCGCCAACAGCCCATTACGGTCAGTAACAGGACCTAGACCACCATCCAAATAGGTAACCTTAAAGTCCATAGTCCTTTTACCGAAGAGATCTCTTCCTTCTTCTTCCCTGGAGGAAGACAAACCAATCTTACTTCTACCACAACACGAAAATACATAAAATAAAATTTAATATACAGTACAGAGAACGTAATTTTATATAAACAATAGTCCTCCGGTGGGACAGCGGTACGTTTACGAACTTACAATGCTAAAATCTGGGGTTCGATTCCCGGCAGTGGAAGAACATATAGCCCAATGTTGTTTTGTTCTAAAGAAAATGGAAAGTCCTCTCACGATACACCATTAAATACCTAAAAGTACATTTCTATGGAGGAAGAAACACAGACAATACAGAACCTACAACATGTTTCTTCCTCCATAGACCGAAACAGATAATCACAGAACCTACAACATGACAGGATCTACAACGTTTCGGTCTATGGAGGAA